ATTGTGTCACATGTAAGCAAATAAGAGGTTTGTTGGTTGTTGTTGTTGCTATTTTGCTTGCAATCTCAGTGGTTTATGACCATCTTAGTGAATATGTGACATTAAATATAAATTACTCAAGCAGAATATGCTTAATAATGATTGAACTTTATTTATAGCTCATTTGCATGCAAATGTATATTACCAGACATTTTAAGTGGTCCAGATATTAGTTGAAGTGCTCTTTAAACCAAAATTGCAGTACTAGGAAATTTTATCATATAAACTTGACAGAAAGGACATGTATATAATATAGCAATAACGGTGATCTGGAAAGCTTTAAAATCTCTGAAGCAGTTCAAAAAAATTCTATGTTAATGTAATGACACAATATTTTAGAATTAAAATGTGCATTTGATTGGAAATATAACATCATTATGGCTATACTGTAACCACAGCTATCATTTATCCAATGAATTTCTAGACTGAGGTGTTCATATCTAGAACAGTAATCTATCTGACTGACTCTATACTATTGATATACTATTTAGCCTGGAGAAGAGAAGGCTGAGAGGTGATATGATAGCCATGTTTAAATTTTTGAAGGGATGTCATATCGAGGAGGGAACAAGCTTGTTTTCTGCTGCTCCGAAACAACGGATGCAAGCTGCAAGAAAAGAGATTCCACCTCAACATTAGGAGGAACTTCCTGACAGTAAGGACAGTTCAACAGTGGAACACACTCCCTCGGAGAGTAGTGGAGTCTCCTTCCTTGGAGTTCTTTAAGCAGAGGCTGGATGGCCATCTGTCAGGGATGCTTTGATTGGGAGTTCCTGCACGGCAGGGGGTTGGACTGGATGGCCCTTGTGGTCTCTTCCAACTCTATGATTCTATGATTCTATGATATGTTCCCTGCCATGTACCAGATTCTGTTGAAACAGATTCTCTGAATTGAATAACTTTGTTCATTAACAACTATTAAAAAATGTTGATGACCAGGGGAAAGATAAGCAATCCCCTGTGCCTGGAAGAAGTGAGAAACTGCAGCTCCACACTGACTGTACTGCCTCATTTCTTATGTCTTCCCAACTTTCCTCAAAATTCACCTTTTATGTGAAGCAGTTGGCTTAGCCCTGTTTCCATCCCTGCTTCACAATTAGCCTTGTGGCTAAGAATACATCATTACTGTAGGAATAATGCAGTTTGACACCACTTTAACTGCCATGGCTCCTTCCTACTGAGTTCTGGAATTTGTACTTTTGTAAGACATTAGGCTAAAGACCTTATAAATTTACTAATCCCAGGATTCCATAAGATGAAGCTACAACATTAAAATGGTGTCAGACTACATTATTTCTTGTTTAGATGCACCCTAAACCAGAGCATGTACAACAGAAGCAATTATATTATTTACTCCTGCCTCTCCCATCCTGTCCTTCCTCTGTTATTTTTTCTGCAGTGAATATTATACAATGGGCTTTGCTGAACAGAAGTCTGTCATCTGTAAATTTCCATAAACATTGTTGGAGTAGTAGTGGGGGGAGTGGAAATAATAGAAGCTGTCATGGTTCCCATTTTGAGGGAAGGGCAGGATAAGAGTGCTGAGGATACCATGGACAGCCAAAAAGACAAACCAATGGATCCCTGAACAGATCAAACCAGAATTACTCCTAGGAGCCAAGATGATAAAACTGAGGCTATTATACTTTGCCAACATCATGAGAAGATATGTCTCACTCAAAAAGACATTAAGGCGTGGAAAGGTCGAGGACAGTAGAAAAAGAGAAAGACCACACAGCAGATGGCTAGACTAAATTAAGGAGGTCGTGGACCTGAACAGTGGAGAATGGGGGGGGGGGG